AATGCATTAGCTGTTTGTCGATCCACTGGTTCACATTTAAAAATATGTAGCAAAAATAGCAGATGGGCTTATTGAAAAAGCAAATTCGTTCTCTGCCAGCAGGTTTCAGTTTCAAAACTGTGCATATAGTGGTTTCCCCGGTAACCGCAGTCCACAAAGCTGACATGCAGCGAAATTTGAGGCAAGTGCAACTCTGGCGTCCCCGTTGTTTGTGAGCAGTGGTGTGATGGCGATTTAAATAAAATACAGATTTCCAAACAATCCAAACATATGGGTATCCCCTTGAACTTGGTAAAAAGATACTGTTTTCATGGTCAGTTTTTCATTTATTATTTGCTAATGTTAACGACTGTTTACATTAGAGTGCACGTCCTACACTGAAATTAACAGGGGAGCGGCTGGAAACTAGCGACCTCTCCTGGTTGGAGATAGTATTAACATCATAAACTGAAAGCAATCTTTACGTGCCTGGCTTTTCAAATGTTTTAAAATTGCTCATCCGAGTCTAATATGATCCAGCGGGCCGTACTAAAAGACACTCCGTATACGGCCCGCGGGCCGCCAGTTGCCCATCCCTGTCCTAGACACTGTAAAGGTCAAACATAAGAACAATATAAATCTTACACAAATATTCTTAAGCACAAAATTGATGTCCCTGTGTTAAAGAAACATTGCAAGTTTTACGGCTTAAGTTTCTTTGGCTGACTTAAATTGTGTTATTATTATAAATGAGTTTGGCAGTATAGAAGCCAACTGTAGCTTGATATTTTATTCTTGTACCTTCAGGTAAGAAAACACACACACACCGACTCACCTATCCTGTGTATGGAATTTAAGAATAATTGTGGCTGTCATCTAATAATAAGTTGTCATACCTAATTAATCATCCTCTCCATGGTCCATTGTCTGTCTTTGTGTATAAAGGGTATTATTATCGTCATGCCTTTTATGTGTGATGTTTTTCCTTTATTTATGTTACAAGAAATAAATCAAGCAGGAAAGAAGACAGACAAACTAAAAGAGAAATAGAAAGTGTTGTCATGATGTCTTAAGGTATTTTTAATGCTTGAATCCCAATGCAATGTGAAAACTTTTGACATTCAAAGATATTTATGTTTCAATTTCATCTGTCATTCCATTTTTTCTTTATTTTTTATATTTCCCGATTCCGCCCCACTCTCTCTCCCAATTCACTTCCTGTCATTACACTGTCCTATCTAAATAAAGGCAAAATGAAAATAAATAAATAAATAAAATTCTTCAAAATTAATTCGTTGGGCCAGTTTGAAATTCTTCTAAAAAAAATTACCAAATACAAAATAATATCAAATAAGCACAAAGTTATCCGTTTAATATATGACAAAACATGTCTCTGACTTTTTTGACAATGACCTCAGAAATTTGCATTTATCATGACTGCACAAATATCAATTACCAAACCCTAACAAGAAGCACAAATTGTGAAAAATGTTCTTAGTGTAGTGGATACATGCGTGACAGCTGTGCATACTAAAAAAATTTGAAGAATGAAAAAGGATAACAAAAACGGAGGAGGAGCATAAAGAAAAAAGAAGTGGGCAGGTGAGGGACAGATGAGAAGAGCAACCTGAGAAGCTTTTGGAACTATATAAAAGGGATTTTAAGAGGCACAGTGAACCAGATTACCATCAGCATCCATTCTGCTAGCAAACAGAGGGACTGTGTGAAGATGTGGAGATTAACGTGTGTCACTTTGACCCTGCTCATGTGTGCCAAAGGTAAGGTCTCATGGTACATCTATTAAAGAGCGGATAATCAGGAACAAAGACATTATATAGAAAAGAGAGAATATATATTTTTGTGGCACAGCGCATAAGAGCAGTCTAAGGGCTTTGTTAAAATAATAACGCATTGATATGAAACTTGGGAGTTCATATGTAGATTCATATGAATGATTCATTTGTTGGGTAACTCCTGGGTTAGTGAGTCTCGTTTTATCAAAGAGCTGACTCATAAGAATCATTTGTTATCAATCAGACTAAACAGGTGGCTGTGTAATCCGATTCACAAATAAATGACTCTTATGAGTCACTTCTTGTATCTGCATGAAGCCTGTGAAGAGCGGCAGTGCAAGAAACACTGCTGTGATATGTCATGTCTGAAGTACAAAAGTTTGGAAAAATTAAGATTTTTAATGTTTTGAAAAAGTGTAATGTTCACCAAGGCTGCATTTATTTGATGAAAAACACAGTTAAAACAGAAATACAAGCTATGCCCACCAACAAACTTTTTAACTGAACTTGTACAGATTGAAACCACTCTTAAAATAAATAGTTAAATTACACATTGTACATCCAGGTTCACAAGAACTATTCTTACGTAATAAACAGATTTCTGAACTGTAATGATCCTGTGAGATAATCTATGTAAATACTCTTTCTAGGTCACAGCCTTTTATATATATATATATAATAAATTATTCTTTCTTTTTTACTGTTACGGAAGCCTATAAATGTTTTACATTGTGAGCCACACCTGCTGGGCATGTGGAATGTACTTGCAGGACATGGGGCAAATGTCATTGTTAAATGGTTAGGGGAAAGAAAAGCTGCTAGTTTTGCTTATTGTAATTAAACCGGTTTGCCCAGAAATGTTTTCCGCATTTTCAGTCCCACAAGTTAATGGTACAACAAATCTACCATAATCAGTGCAGTGAACTCTGGCAGGGTCATTATTAAGGGAAACATGAAGATGAAATTGTTCTAATGTGCACTTTATTTCTGCCCTTGCAGGTTCACTTTCTCAGCTGAATGGTAAGAGCTCCTCTCATTCTAAAGACATCAGCATCAAGTCAAATAGTTTATGTAGAAATACTTATGTGAACAATCTCTCTTTCTCTTTCTCGTAGTTTGTGGACAGGCTCCTCTAAACACTCGTATTGTTGGTGGCGTGAACGCACCTGATGGGTCGTGGCCGTGGCAGGTCAGTCTGCACAGCACTCTCTATGGAGGTCATTTTTGCGGAGGCTCCCTCATCAACAATGAATGGGTGCTGACAGCAGCTCATTGTTTACCTGAGTAAGATTCACCTAAACACACATATGCACCTGTTTTGTTTTAAAAGGTAAAAAGAATGAAAGAAAGAAAGGTTGTCATGATGTCTTACGATATTTTGTTATGTTTGACATGTGAATGCAATGTGAAAACGTTTGGCATTCAAAGACATTTCGGTTTCAATTTGTTCTGCCTTTCCACATTTTTTTTCCACCTCTGAAATTAACTTGGGCCAGTTTGAAATTCTTTGAATTTACTTTACTATATTACAAAATAACCAAAGTACTTAGTTGTTTTTTGTTGTTAGTTGTGTTTTGTTGTTTCTATTTCCTTCTTTTGTCTCATGTTCACTTTCTCTAATTGTATTTAGTGTCAGTGCATCCAGTCTGCGTGTGTATTTGGGAAGGAGGACACAGGAGGGAGTCAATACCCATGAAATCAGTAGAAATGTGAGAACCATAGTCGTTCATCCCTCTTATGACAGCAACACAAACAACAATGACATCGCTCTGCTCCGGCTGTCCTCCACAGTCACCTTTAATAACTATATTAGACCCGTGTGTCTGGCGGCACAGAGCAGCGTCTTCATTTCTGGCACCAGCAGCTGGATCACAGGCTGGGGAGATGTTCAAGCTGGAGGTACAAAAACGTACAAACCCATTAATTCAAGTATATATCTACTCCTAACATCACTAATAGATGGTTGTGTATGTGTGTTTTGGTGTTCAGAGAGTTTACCTTCTCCTGGGATCCTGCAGGAGACTATGGTTCCAGTGGTGGCTAATGATCGATGTAATACTCTTCTGGGTTCTGGATCTGTTACCAGCAACATGATGTGTGCTGGTTTGACACAGGGAGGCAAAGACACCTGCCAGGTACAACAATTATATTTTATATTTTTTGCATTCACATTGTCTATTTAGGATAAATGCTTAAAACTAAGTAGCTCCAGTAGTGTAAACATACACGCTGTTACCAAAAAATAACTACAATTTGTTTTGTACCTTTATAACACACTGACAACCACCAAAAACCACAGGTGAAATACAAAACACCATTAAGGTAACTCTAAAATACTGCAATAAATATTTATTTAAAAACATAAGATGTAAAATGAAACCCTGATGTACAACAAAAACTAAGACGAAACAGTTATTTCAATGAAAAAAAAAAAACATTAGAGAAAGTGTCACACAGGGAATTCTGGACATGTCTTCATTGTAAATTGTATGATAACTTATTTTTTCCTTAAAAAAATGTAATTTTAATTTTTACCGTAAACAGGTTTTTACTGTAGCATTTTTTTTATAGCCTTTTACTGTTAAAATTACACTCCTTTTCTGTATATGAAACACATGGGCTGTATTGCTTCTGTGGGCATAGGATGGAGTAGTGAGAGCTGTTTTCCTGTCACAACTAACTGCCCTGTCGTGATAAGAAGAATATCCCTTTTCTTTCCTCTTGTCCCTCTCTGTAGGGGGATTCTGGAGGTCCAATGGTGAGCAGGCAGTGCACAGTGTGGGTTCAGTCTGGCATCACCAGCTGGGGTTATGGCTGTGCTGATCCCAACGCACCTGGTGTTTACACCCGCGTGTCTCGATATCAGAGTTGGATCACCAACAGAATTGGTCAGAACCTGCCAGGATTTGTCGCCTTCAACCCCCCGACCTCATGCTCCTCTGCCAGCCTAAGTAAAAATCTCTCTCAAACACCTACACAGCGTATACCCACGTAAGAGAGCATACTTGTTTGACTAACGCAAAATGATTTGTATGTGCAGCCTCAACTGTCTGTAGGGGGAGATGCAATGAGAAGTACAACAGTCGCTTTCGCTGCAACTGCAATACTAACTGCAGTATAAACTGCTGCAGAGATTACAGACAGCGTTGTGCCAGTAAGTTCAAACACATTCATTTCAGTAAAAAAACAAAAAAACACAAATGCACTTTTAGAAAACTTAATTCACACCTTTAATTGAAGGTGGTTGTTAATGGGTGTATAAAGACAATGTTTTTATTTAAGTTCTTTGGTAACACTTTACAATAAGATTCCATTTGTGAACATTAGTTGCATCTGTTAATATAATTGAATGGATCTGAGATAACATGAACAAACAATGGACAGTTGTACGTTAACTAATACAACCTTGTTGTAAAGTGTTACCAGTTCTTTTTATTAAATGTCTTGAAAAGTGTTTACTTTTTTTAAATAAATGCCACTTGCTCTGATATTTTGATACATAATACAGATATACAAATCTGCATACATTTTACATAACCAAAAATAAAGTCATATTTTTATTACTGCACACCATAAAATGCATCTAACACACACTTCGCATATATAAAAAGTAAAGTAAAAAGTAACTCTCTCTTGCTTAATCTCACAACTTATATTTTTGTTTTTGTGTCTCTGCAGTGTGAGGTATGTCATATTCCATGGATTATATGAAAACAGGCTTAATCACATCACTTGCACATAAATCAGATGATCTTTACCTGCTTGTTCGGAGATTTTACTTCATATGCGTTGCACAGTCAGAAACGAGCACCAATGCAAACACAGTCAAAGAACTGCTGCACTGACTTCACTCAGGGGTGTAAATATTATGTTCAACTTTTGTTAACAAAGCACTTAGCTCAGTCCATTAGTAGAATCCTTTTGTTTTTCTTTTTTTAAATCAGCATGTTACCAACCAGATTAAATGTAGGCCCTTTTGTTGTTCTTTTGTTTTCACTTAGCATTTGCACATTTCTTTAAAAAATGTTATATATAACATAATTACTTGAAATTTTAAACTGATTTCTTTCTTTGTGACCACCATACATTTACATTTACACATTAAGCAGATGCTTTTACCCAAAGCGACTTATACATGAGGAACAAAGCAACAATCGTTGTAGTACACAATGTCAGATTTATTAGACAACTAGATTAGGAAACCAGCTAGAGAACAGAAGTAGTACAGAGATTGTGTGTGTGTGTGTGTGTGTGTGTGTGTGCATAGGCTTAAGAGTGTGGGGTGATTAAATGCTTGCGGAAGTGGTTTGTCATTTCTGATGACGAATAAGTGGTGATTTCTTTAAGTTTAACTTTATTTTTATTTTACACAATTTTTGACTATATGTAGTGCTTGTATCAGGGTTTCTACAGACATGAACAAGTTAAACTGAAGACTTTTTAAGACCTTTTTAATACCACCTCATATGAAATTTAAGACCTAAACCTGTAATGGAAATACACATTTTATAACATACATGACATGAGGGTTGAGTAAATTATATCAGATTTTTCATTTTTGGTTTAACTAATTCTTTGCACGTTTACTTTTAAAACATCAGAATCGGTGCAAGACGTTATCTGTTTCAGTTCCTTCAGAAGGTTGGTCAATGTAATGATAGGTGGTTTAGTACGGTGACAGAGAAGTGCAAAGCAAATCACTATTCTGAAAACAAAATAACAAATTACAAACGCAAATGCAAGTTTAAAAAACAAAATAACAATTCAGAAAACATCATAAGTCAGAAAACACAATGACAAATTTGAAAACAAATTAACAAGTCAGAAAATACAACGACAAATCAGACAAACCGGAAAAGGTAGGTATAGTTTGAGACAGCGCCATTGGTTTGGGATTACTCACCGCTGACTGGACGAGACATCTGTAATCAACGTATACAGGGAAGAACCAGCCGAAGACCAGCAGAGTCGTGGTAGAAAGTTCGGAGATGGTATTAAAGTAGCTCAGTTTAAATGTATTGTATGAATTGCCCTTATTATGGAATAAAAAATACGGAGTGTCTATTTACACGTAGTTAAAAGTGGCTGTAAAACATGAGCTCCAGTGGCGCAGATGGATAAGCGCGTGTCGTTGGCTTTTTGGCGCGTTCGATCCGCCTTTTGCCTAACTTTTGTTCTCCCTTTTCAAATCTCGTATCACATCGTAAAGGCATTTATTTTCAATAAAAATTAACGAAATAATCAAAAAGTTGAAAAGAAAGTATCGGCATAGTGTAAATTAGTATTTGCCCTTAGTTTAAATTGCATTTTGCTAAAAATACTGCTATTTTCACTTAGTGTAAATAGAATCCATTGCTAATACGAGATTTGAAAAGGGAGGAAAAAAAATTTCGGCAAAAGGCGGGATCGAACCCGGGTCGATTGTGTCAAAAAGCCGATAACACACATGCATCCATCTGCACCACTGGAGCTGATGATGTGACCAAAAATATTTAAGACCCATAGAATATGAATTTAAGACATTTTAAGCCTTTTTAAGGACCCGCGGACACCCTGTTGTATTATGTAATGTAAGTGTAATGATATGCCATGACTTTTATCAGAATCATTAAATCAAAAACAGTGTTTTTTAATGGCTTTTGCTGTAATAAATCTCTCCAACAGGGGGCGATGTGAGCACACGTGAAACGTGTAATGAGTACACAAACCACACACTGACACTGAGAGTAATGCAGCAGACTTCAGCATAACGTCTGTTAGCATAAAGTCTAGTCAGAGTCGCGCCAGTGCAGCACTGAAGAGGGGCATCTGAAATAATGAAAGGGGGTGATGGCGCAACGCAAAGTATTATAATATATCCTAGTATCCACTTCCTATGTCGAAGTGATCCATTTACGCATTTGTCGGGCATAAACAATCCTGTCTTTACTCAATGCACCTTACAGAGCATTGAGTAATAATCTTACATAAAACAAAAACTTACCTAGACCAACATATTTGCACATTTGACTCAATATTCATGATATAAACACGTTTCATGAGACACAATTTCAGCAGGTTTACCATGAATCCAGACAAGTTACCATGATATAATAACACACTTATTTAGTGACAAACAATAACAACATAGAGTGAAATAATCACTAATATGACCAATTATATATAGGCTACTCTAAAAAAAATCATACTTTTACAGTATTGATATGAAGGAATGTTCCATATTGATTTATTTTAACAGGTGTCTTACCTTTTTGCGCTAATGTAAATGTCCTTAAAATTAAAGGATAATGTTCTGGGACTCCTGGCTGAAAATACCAGTACATTTTCTATTATTTTTTCAGTGTAGCCCGTAGGTTAATGTGACAAACGTGCAAATCAAAATGTGACTTTGTGAAACAGAAGGCCATAACTAAAATGTTGCTATATTATTTTAATATTAATGCTCAAAAGCCAATACATTTATGATTTGTTTTAATAGTCTATTCTATTTCCTCTTTAAAATCCATTTTCACACGACTGTCTTGGGGGCAGGATAGTCCGGTTGAGCAGGCAATGGTTGAGTTTATTTTGTTATTGATTATTAGAGGCAAGTAAATCTGGACTCAATGATAACACAAATAATAACTGGCATCCCAAATAGCACAGCATGTCTAGTCTCCATGAATGATTTACATAATAAATTTCCTTTAAAATATTGCAGATTTAGATTTCTGTCCAAAGTAATAGGCAATAAATAATAGTAGGTCCTTGTAAGATGACTTTGTGAACTGATAAAATTTGCCATGTCAGCCCAATAACATGCTTCTCAAGCATAAAAAGTCTTTTTTTGCACAAAACCGCCTCTGGTGTAACTCACAAAACACCAGTCACAAATGTGTTCATGTCATGCTGGAATTAGCAGAATTACAAGCTGAGTCCATTTTTAGCTGTACTATTCTGTACTTTTTAAAAAAACATTTCAAAAACTGGACGTCAGAGAACATTTAGAAATAATGTTTTCATAACTTAATAGGAATGTTAGCAAAACATTCTTAGAACATACTTTGATGAATTACTTTTGCTTCTCTGTTTTATGTCACTTTGAATAAAAGCGTCTGCTAAATGCTCAAATGTAAATGTCTGCCTATCTATCTAGCTTAGATCAGTTAGGCTGATTTAGTTGTAAATCATGCTTATCTGGAGCTTATCATGAGCAAATACAGCTGTGCCATCATGATTTAGAGATTTAATATCTGTACAGCTTCACTTGAAAGTTCAGAATATCAGGATTTCCTGCCACTGATCTGCTTAATTCATGTATATATAAGAAATTTATACACGAATAAACTGGCAATATTGCTGTGATTCAGAATGTAGGCCTACTATTTATCAGCCAAACTGCTTGTATTTTTTTGGTGTCTACTGTGTAAACACTTTGTTCTTTGTCTAAGGATATTGTGCTGATAAACCTTCATTTAAAAACCAAACTGACAATTATGTTTCAGCGAAGGTGGTGGTTGTTAAAATTGTTTAAACAGTTTCAACCTTTATGACTTGTTATATAAAAAAAGACGTACATACAGAACAATCAGTGATTTAAAGCATGATATAAATTTAGATTTATACAATAGTTCCAGTTCTCTAATTTGATTAGTCAAGATGCTTTCCACAAGTGACAAAAATCTAAATATTAACCTAAATGAATCAGCATAGTAAAAGAACAGCAAGACGTTGGCAAACTTTTCTTTTCTTTCTTTCTCCATATCTATTGGCAAAATACCGTTACTGTGTAAGTTTCTTCCAGGATTGTGCAACAGAATTGGCTCACAGTGACCTCACATTTGATCACAGACGTCTCAAGCACACGCACACATAACGTGTTGTGGTAAAACATCAGTACCAGTTATGAGGCTAAAGGAGACTGTGGAGGCGTGGCTAGAGGGTATATTTGACAAAACAGAAAAGAGACATATGTACACAGAAACAAATAGTACTAAAAAGGGAACAAAGTAGAGATAGCTATACAAATCAAGGAGGAAACAGAACTAGAGAATAGAGTAAAGAATGGACACCACAGCTGTTGCAAGGTAAGCCACTGACAGCCAGAGATATCTTTTTTCTTTGACTAATGAATTCTTTCTATGCTTTATGAGTTTAACTGTGTTTTTAATTTTCTTCTAAACTATATTATACTTCATGTTATAGATAACTGCTGGTGAAAATTGCCCTCAAATACAAGTAGCATAAAATGGCCCTGCGTTAATATGTTTATATTTTGCAAATGTGCTGACGGACAGATTAAAGGGATAGCTGAAAAATCCGTCACCATTTAAAGTCCAGATACAGTGGAATTGTTGTCCATATACAGTGGAAGTCTGTGGTAACCAAAACTGTGTGGTTCATAATATCTTCTTTTGTGCTCCACAAATGGAAGTCATACAGGTTTGGAGCAACCAAAGGTGGGAGTAAATGATGACAGAATTTTCATATGGGGGTGAACTATCCCTTTCCTTGTGAATTAAATTAAATTCAAAATTTGATTTTGATTTCACTCCCATGTAATGATATGTAACTTAAATAACTACAATGTAAGCAGTATAACACACTAGAAAGATTCGTAGGTAATCACAGTCACAGATGTAGTGAATAGTGATATTTAGACTAACTATGAAAGCATTACTCACCTTATTTTTCCTGTGACAGCGAAAAATAAGTATTTTTGTAATTACTTATTGTAAATTTGTAAATTTTATATGTGTGTGCCAGGCTTTCGGTCTCATCTGCTTCCAGCTCATTTTAGCTGTACAAAACAGCTGGTTTTGCTGCTTGATATTGCAAAGTGGTGTGTCTTACCATATTATTTTAATATATTATCTTCATTATGAACACATGGTTTGTAGTACAAACAGGTTCACGGTTTACTGCACTTTCATCTCGCTATTTCCCTACAGCGGCTAATGAATTGAACAGGAATTATTGCACATTCACAGAAAACGGCTTACTTTAACGTTGAAAAATAAAGTGGATAATTGCTTTAAACAACAGCTCGCTAAACAAGACGATAGTGTTAAGTAACTTACATTTTCATTTGGAATTTTTCCTCTTCTAAAGGAAGCCAGCTCACATTCATCAGTCGCGCGTCTAGAGCTCGACACAAGTTGCTTTTGTTGTTGCCTTTTGTTCCTGAATGAATCGGTTGAACAAGTCATTGAAGATTTAATATTAAAGATTTGTCACTTGTCCTCACCTCGTTTTAAAAATCCCACCACTAATGCACAGACTGATAGTCAATCAAATTCAACGACTGGAACTTTTTTTTATTTTTAATCAGTCTAACAAAATACACTCTATTGTCAGTAAAGTATTGTCATTTGTTTGTTTGTTTGTTTGTTAATAAGCAAATAAAAACAATTTTGTAATTTATATACTGTATATATATATATATATATATTCAAAATGTATGTTAATTATGCATTATCTCAGTTTGAATTAAGAAGAAAAGGCAGTCTCTTAAAATGTCCATAATGCTTGTTGTCTGTAGGCTATAGCTCACTCTGTTAGGAAGAGGGGGGAAAAAACAAAGGTGAGATATTCAAAGGTGCCTTAAAGGCACAATATGTAAGATTTTTTCTTTAAAGTTGTCATATGATGCGATTTCAAATTTTCCTTTCTCTTTGGAGTGTTACAAGCTCTTGGTGCATAGATAAGATCTCTAAAGTTGCAAAGACTAAAGTCTCAAACCCAAAGAGATA